GGCTCCTTTCCAGTGCCTCTCGAGGAATTAAATACTTAGGAATACTTATTCCCAGACAACTTAGTGATATAGTGAAATGTAATTTGGAACCGCTCCTAGAAAAACAACACAGATATGCAGAGGTGGTCTCCGCTTTCTCTCTCTTGTTGGGGCAAGGTTAATGTTATGAAGTGAACTGTGCTCCCAAAATAAATTATATTCTTCAGTCCTTCCCCTGGATATCCTACCAAATACTTAAACAATTTGATGTACTTTGTAAAAATTTTTTTTGGAACGGCAAAAAACCTAGAATGCATCTGAGAAATACGAAAACCGAGAGGTGGTTTGGGTCTTCAAATATGCTGTTTTTATATGCCTTTAGCTTGAGACACCTGGCATACTGGGCGCTTCCCCTGAAAGAGCTCCTCCATGGTACAATGGAACAGTCAATTTGCACATCGTTCCCCCATTGTGTTCTTGTCTGCCAGAATTGCCACCAAATGGTCGATCTCATCCCATCAATCACTTTACAGGGAAATCTGGAGTAAAATAGCCCGTATTACTAAAATCAAACCATTTATAACTATGTTCTGGGATTTTGTGGACATACTCACTTCTGAAAAATCCTCAGGGTGCAAGATTCTCTCCGAAGTAATTTGAAAGAGGGTGAATAAGAGGCGATCCTTACTCTGAGTCATGATCACTTGTGAAAAAGGCAATTCACTCAGGGCCGATATAAACTGTGAGAGCTTATGGCACTATTGATTCCAAGGTGGCACATCTCGTCCTGGGCAAATAATCATTTGGAGTCAATCTGGTACCTTCAACAAATTAAAGCATACTCGCCTGGAGGGGCATCTCTAGTGGCTCTTTACCACCTAAGCTTCTATGCGTGACGGCACCACCCACAGAACTGGGCCTGTGACTTCTATTTAGAATTCACGTTATTTTACACCAGTTGCAAGAGCACATAGGACATGAGTCCCATGTGTATCCTATATGATCACATTGATCGTAATAGCTTTATGCATTTAAACTAAATCTCGCCTGATATGATATCACCAGCTGCTACTGAAAAGCTTATATCTCCATGGAGGAATTACAAGATTTCTATGGGCTTTTGCTCTATTGATATAAAGGATATGGGATAAAGTAATATTTATCTTGGTATTTACTAAGCATGTCTCAGTGTATTGAATATTTCACAATCTCATATGATTGGATCGCCAATGTAACAGTTAAAAACTATTTGTTTCACGATTATTACTATATGTTACCGCCAGGTGTTTATTTAGACTAGGGCTGAAAGACTCTTCAGATTGTAGTCACTGTGTATGGATTCTGTAACGGTGTTGTTAAGCGGGAGCTTCTTTGTGTGGATGAATTGTCGGTCATGCCCATAAATGTCACATTGATTCGGTACAGGCTTTTATGGATTGGGAATTGTATCAGATACGTAGTATTATATCAGAGAGTATAGCTATTGAAGTGACGGGACTACGAAACATCTTGTCCTGGATAACCTCTCCTTTGATCATTTCTAATCGGTAACCTTGCCTAATTCCTTCAGCCTAAGTAATCATTGCGATGGTAGAATCCCTTAAGCATTTTACTGGGTCCATGACCCATATTGCATCTTATGAGATTGCGCAACAGATAATAATTGAATGATGGAATAGATGCTTGAAAGGTCCCATTATTCAGGAATGGGTCTCAAGAACTGCGCAAATGATCGGATAGATTTTGTGGTCTATTGATTTTCCAGGTAGGGCGCATTTGAGAAAATATCTTTACAGTCTGATGAAATGAAGTTGCGAGAAATTCAAAAGCGTATACTCGAATTAATAGGATGGGGACACAGCTATATTTGCAATCTCTCACTCATCTACATGCCGATTAACGGAACTCATTTCCAGACTCTCTTTGGATTTTGTTTCACCTCATCCTATGCTATTTGGTTGATTAATTTTGTATTTCCCATCTATCTGTGTTAACCTCTTCTTATTAACATTAAACTTATCTCTTGTACTAGCAATATATTGATAGACAATTTCTGAACTGCGGTTAGTTTTTGTTCTATTTCAACGTTTTATGTTCTGCGTCTATTATTTATTTTTAATTATTTTCTTTTCCGACTGTCACTTTTTTTTTTTTTTATTGTTTGTTTTTTTTTTTACCGTTATACGACGGATCTATATCAGAGGAGAGAGAGAGAAGGGTATGAGGCGAGAGAAGAGGCCGTCAGAACTGACTCACGGTGGAGAATGACATTTTAATAAGTTTATTGTCACGCTTACTTACAGCTTATTCTAGTTCTTAAAACGGAGTTGTCATATTAAACGCCAAAAAAACGGTTCCCAAAGGATCTCTATAGAGCCTGAAAGTCTTCACCCCTTGATTACCTAACCCACGCCTCCTTGCCTTGGGTGCTCTTCTTTTTTGTGTAAGATGTAGTTTGTCCGGTTAACTTCTGGCTTGGAATAGCGATTTAGGGCAATATGAGGTCAGGGGGAGGGCCTCCGACTTTGTCCAATTCACCCGATAGCCAGAAAAGCTTGAGAATAACTTTATAATTCGGAGTAGAGCGGGAACAGATCTGTCTGGGTTTGTAATAAAGACTAGAGTATCATCAGCATAAAGCAAAAGTTTATGTGTATAGCCTCCAATCGTAATACCAGGGATATCAGTGTCCTTACGGATTGCTGCAGCCAGGGGTTCTATTGCTAGGCAAAATAATAGGGGAGAAAGCGGTGAACCTTGCTGGGTCCCCCGGCCGAGTCTGAAATAAGAGGAGGCCACTCCATTAGTTTGAACAGCTGCCTGAGGTGCATTG